GAGGTGTGGAAGTTCTCTCGCGCGATGATAAAGTGGATGAGGAAAGCAAGGAAAAAGGTGGAAAGAAACAGAGGAGTAAGTCAAAGAAGAGTCATACAAAGGTCACAAAGAATTCTTCAAAGGAGGTGATTGGACATTGTGATAATGTAGACCACAACAAAAGGGATGGAACAGATCTGGGGATTTCTAAGTCTCCTAATGGAAAATCTGGATCTTTACTTTCTGGGGAGCAGGACTGCCAAGAGGGAGAAAAAGTCATAGAAGACCAAGAGGAGGGTATGGTTTTACATTTTGTTTGTAGCTGTTTGTAGGAAAGTTTTATCAGATAGATAATTCACATTGATATCTTTGTCTTGACTTACATGTTATACTATGATTTTCTTTACTTTTAAGCAATTTGTTTGACACTGTTCAGAATATGAAAAAGTTTAAATTTCATATAAAATGGATGCATATACATAGAACTTTACTTAATAATAGAAAATGCTCTTTTAAGATGAAAGTGTACAAGTGGATGAGACTCCAGTGAAGGAATATGACGTGGAGAGTTTCTCCACCCTGTGGCCAGCATTAAGTGGAGGAGAGGGTGTGTCTAAGGCTAGAGCTCGCCATTTCTCTTCCATGTCCAACCAAAGCCATAAATCTTACTGTAGTGATCTGTCGGCTGTATTCTCCCCCATCAAAGTTGACAAGGTTTGCTAGGTTTCATATTTATTATAAAGTTACAGTTCTTGTGTAATTATATTGCAGATGCCTCATCTGAGATTCTTCATCTCCAGGCAGTGTTTTAAAAGAGAATCAAGGTATTTTAAGGTATTTTTTAATTTTTTTTAAACAGGATATTCAAGAAGAAAGAAGAAGCTCAAGGTCATCAAGTAGAAGGTAAGATTAAATATTGTTCCTGGTACCAGGTGTCTTCATTCAGTGTGTGCCTTACATTTTGGATGGTCATGATGACTGATATAAATCACAGAAAACTGCTTGAACCACTGATGGCAGTGGCAGATATAAGCAGATGTACAGTTTCAAAGTGTTCTTTTATAGTACTGTTAAAAGTTAAGAAAATGAAAAGCTGGAATCTGGTGTCTAGCTTTGGCACACAAATGTCTTTACATACTGTAGATTCCTAATTATACGTGAGGAATTAATTTCCACGTAATTTCGCGAGAAGCACCGTTCGTGAAAAAATATTATTTATTTTTAGGTCACCTGAGTAAACTAGGGCGGAGCTCTATAGATTATATAGTGAAAATACATGAATTCTTTGAAAATCTTCTTCTCTGCTCCTGGGTACTAAATAAACTAAGTGCATAGTTATGATGAGCAAGAATGCCTCTTCCAAAATTGTGAATTTTAGGGGTTCTGGTGTTAGGGCGGGGCTCTATAGATTATATAGTGAACATACATTAAATCTTTGAAAATTTTCTTCTCTGCTCCAGGGTATTAAGCAGATGAACTACCTATATAGTTATGATGGACAAGGGCCCTAATCTTCCAGAACTGTGAATTTCAAGGCCCCAGGGTCAGGGGTACCATAGAGGGGGGCTGTACTTATATACTGAAAATGAATGAATGGTTTGAAATCTGCTCCTTGGTATTAATCAAATATCAAGGCCTAAGGGTCAGGGGTTCATGTGTGATAGGGGCACTACTGATTATTGCTGAATATTACTGATTAGTTGAAATGCATTTTTTGTTCCCCTACCCTGCATATGGGTATTAAGTAAACAAACTAAGCAACTGCTAGGTATATTGTTATGATGATCAATGGTGCCTCTTTCAAAATTGTGAATGCCATAGCATCTGGCTTAAAACATGAATCAAATTCAATCACAGGAAAGTTGTTGCATAATGCTCAGGTGACCTATAAGGCCCATGGGCCTCTTTTTATTTTTATGGTGCTAAAATCTATGTAAATTCTGTTGATCAACCGTCCATTCGCGAATTATAATTCTCGCGTTTTGACGTTAAAGAGCCAGTTCGCGGAAAAAAGCACTCGCGAAAAATAAGGAATTTACAGTAGTATAAAGTTTGCTTACCTGTAGTAAATTACTGTATCATTAAGATTAATAACTACACTATAGACATATATATAGATAAGCTTTTTGTTCTGTAGGAAGATTTTGGGAGACTTTGAGAACAGGAAGAGGAAGAGACTCAGTGAACCAGCGTCCAGAAAACGTAGACGGAGACGATAATGTCATTGATTGAATGTAATGTCAAGACTATTCCATGGTATCATACACCTAAAGAGTTGATGCTATTTATTATATTATCCCACAGAATATGCTAAATAAATGTAAATAATTTGCATGCACTTTAGCTTATAGTAAATAATTATCACACTATGACGCCGAGATGGTTTTGGTTTAAATACTTGTACAGATATATAAAAAATATTTCATATTGGATAGTCACAAAAAGGACTGAATTTACATTAATCTTGTTTATTTATGCTTTAACAAGAAAATGAACATCTATTTTATCTGGAACTGATAAAATTAAGTATTAAACATACATATACTGTAAACGTGGAAATTTTGACGATGTGCTAATTTTGACTAAATTGACGATTTTACTTTTCTCGTCAAAATTTACACTCGTCAAACTTCACATCATATGTATAGCGTCACAACAGACATTGACCATTGTACAACTTTACCTCTTAATTTTCTCGGCTTTCCCCTATCAAAACTAGATCAAAGTTACTGTTAATTTCCTTTGTAATTTGTTATGAAAACATAGTGATATATAATCACAATTTTAAAACCATTGTATTGGAAATAGTGTATCAAATACTGCATGCGTAATTACCACGCCATGTTAGACCTAGTTTGTCACCTCAGGCAATTGATCGCTTATATAATTAAAACAAGATACAAAAGGACGATTTATTTTAACAATTTTTTTACACACTTCACTTCAAGTTTTTTTTACAATCTTCACACTGTAGATAGTCTTTAAGAAAAATTAAATTTTAGTGAGTCCGACGCTTGTGAACGAGTTAATCAGGAAGTCCCGGTCCTTGCTCATAACCTCATGAACTTTCATGATCCACTTCGCATGAAGCGGCTTGATCGTAGATGTCCTCATGTCAATGTCGACTAGCCCAATGTTTTCACCGGGTTTCTGTTTCTCCAGTTTCTGACGAACTTTTTCAGAATACCAATTTTGAAACTGGATTTTAAGAAGTTCTTTGTATTTTTTATTAACCGTTTGATCGAGCGGCTGTAGTTCGTCAGTACAACCAGCCACAAACACATAACGAATATTAGCTTTCTTTAATGCTGATAAGACTTTTTCGCTTCTATGAGCAGCGAAGACGTCAAAGATTGCTAAGGCTGGTTGATTTATTTGTGACACGGGTAAGTTCTCGCGCCACTCAACATACGGAACGATAACCCCCTCGATGTATTCAATCATTGTGTCTTCCGTACTCCAGTGATTAGCTGAGTGCGTAATTGCCCAATCATCTGGAAATCTCACGTTCGGGTGGCACATGGTTGTGGATCCTTGGTATATAAGCTGTGGGGGTAATAATTGACCATCAAGAGCGACACAAAACAAGGCAGTGATTTGTCGTTTATCTCCTAATCCGGCTACATTCACCTGTTTAGAACCTTGTTGTTCCATCGTCCAGGCGCACTGCGGAATCATGTTAAGTCCCGTTTGATCCCAATTAAACACTAATTTGTCGGGAATATCATAATCTTTCATTTGCTTATTTACCAAATCCAGAAATTTTTCCTTTGTGCTATCGAAGTCGTCTGGCTTGTGTTTAATTCCCTTAGTGGCCTTTCTTTTCTTGAAATTCATACGAAAAAGAATTGAACGTGCCCATTCTTTGCTCAAACAAACTGAACCACCGAATTCTTCAAGCAGAGACTTGTCCTTATGTAGTAGCACCCCACGGCCGATGCAGCGAACGATATTAGAATTGATAATTCCTCCAGAATTACGCAGATCTTTTATGTACTCTTGAACATCAGCGTCCAGATTGCCAAGGAGGGGCGGTCTTCCGCGTTTTTGGGGTGTGAGTGTTTTCACTGGGGAGCCATCATTTTGTTTGGATTCGAGAAGATATGCTGCCTTAAATCTTCTTACGGTACTTTCATGTACATTTTTATTAAGGGACGAAGAATAATATTTTGCTGCCTTTGTAGCCCCGTGATGAATTGCATAACGCGCGATTTTAGCCTTTGTTTCAGGCGAAAATTTTTCATACTCCCCGCGTTTTCGTTTTCTGGTTCCACTTGGACTTGATGGACTGCAGGTTAATAATTCTTTGTCCACAACATCATTTACATTTTCGATCAATTTTTCTTTTTCAGGCGTATTTGCCAGCGATGGGTCAGGCAAACCGGGTTTTACTGCAGTTTTTGAATCTGCCGTCTTTAACCAACGCCACATTTTGAATGACCAAATTTACATGTTACATGATTTTTTTTACTTGGAAAACATAATTTGATTTGTGTTCAGCTTAAATCGATAAAAAATAGCCGAAGGCTTCATGCAGTGGACGTTAATGAAATCAAAGAGAGATAACTCTAAGTCTGGAATTCATTTTTTTTTTATTTTGTGTAATCAAAGATACATAACTCTTGATTCAATATTTCGTCAAATTTAACACTCGTCAATTTTTGTAATCAACAAATCGTTAATTTTTCAACTCGTCAATATAACCACGTTTACAGTAGATGACTTCTTATTTAGAGTTTACACTGTACATTTATTTATTTGTTTGTCTTTATTATTAAAGCTGAAATGCTAGATAAAATGATTGATTGAATTATTCTATTCTTAGCTCACCTTAACAAAGTTGATATGAGATTATTATATGATATATATTTAAGTTAGGCAAAAAAAAAATGAATTTCTTGGTTCTCAGGCCCCCCCTCATCTCTTCCAAGGGTGCCTCATTGACCCTTTTTATTGCTAAATCATTAAAATATAAACACCAAATCACCTCCCTCATCATTTTTTGAGGTTTGTACAATGTAAAAAGCTGCCATATCATGTTTTGGGGGCAATAAAAAAGAAAAAAATGCCTCCCTCCCTCATCATACTTCTTGAAAAAAGGCCTGAGAACCAAGTAATTAACTTTGCATGGCCTTATACTTGGGAGAAACCTGTATGAACAATGCATCAAGGGATGCACAATTCCTAATTTGTTTCATATTATGGATCTGATGAACATTTTGTAGATGACTAAATACTAAGGTGTAGTTTTGGAGCATGTCCATTCCCAAGTAATTATAAGTCCCACTTGGACTAGACCTGTGTACATGATGCATTCAGGGATTCACATTGTTACAGAGATATATTCAGAGGCTGGATATGACCTTAAAATTTCTCTAAATTGAAGTTCAAACTACCAACCTAAGTCATTAGTGGTTTACACACTATCAAATCTTCAAATGTCCTGGCTTAGGGGCCATAAAATCTAGATAAGCTCACTTTTGATCGCAATTAATTTTTTATACCCCCCCCCCCTTTTCGAAGAATGGAGGGCATATTGCTTTGCTGCTGTCGGTCCACCTAGTATCCATTCATTTTCTTCTCACAGGTTTCACATACTAGTATTGAAATGAAATTTGGTATACAGATTTATCATAATACTAGTAATATCTAGGTCAAGTTTTGTTTTGGGTATAATCGAACCATTTTGGACAACCCCATGGACTTGGAAAAATTCCAATTATTTACAGTTTCCATTCATATTCTTCACAGAGTTTGCACATATTGAAATGAAATTTGGTGTACAGATTTATCATGCGAATATATTGATCAATTCTGTTTTGGGGAACGATTGATCGTTTTTGGATATAGTTGTGCCCCCTTGGACTATGAAAAATCCCATTATTTGCAGTTTCTGGTCATTTTCTTTGCAGAGCTTGCACATACCGAAATGAAATTCAGTATACAGATTTATCATAAAATTAAATATATAGGTCAAGTTCTGCCTTGAGTATGATCGAGTCATTTTTGACAGAGTTATGTCCTTTGGACTTAAAAAAATTCATTTGTTTGGGGGGGGGGGGGGGCATAAGTGATTTACGGACATCTCTTGTTTGTATTGATTAATTCGTTTGGTAAAATTGCGACTGTGATTATAAGTTGGCTCGCCTTATTTTTATGGCCCAAAAGCCCAACGTTACAAGAAGAGGGGCTTAAAATATTTTGTTGTCACATGGGGGGGGGGGGGGGGGGGGCTTTGTCAGAAATTAAGTGAGTACTTGAACAGAGCCTCGCGGAGTTTTGGCGATTTTTTTTTAGATGGGGGTGGGGTAGTTGAATTTATTTAATATCTAAACGTGTAAATATAGGTGAAATTGCGTAACAGAATTCAGCATGGTTGTTATGTAAGGAGATTAAAACCTCTATAGACAATTTCAGTTGTTAAAGAGACAGAAGAGTAAATAATTGCCCGAGAAGGAAAGCCATCCCTGATATGTTATTGCTTTATTGTTGACATAATAAGATTAAATTTCTTTAGAATGTTGATTAAAAGTGAAAAACGAGGGGCTTATTTAAATGAATTAATTCTGCTCAAGTTTACATTCAGTAAACACTAATATTCAGTTATCCCAACATAGTGCTGAAGATTACCCCCTCTGTTTGTGTAGATGGTCGGTGAGAAGAAAGGGGCCATGCGAAGGGGGAGGGGAGGCATCGATTCACACTGGTCATTAAAAAACACGATTATATTCCCGATAAAGAAAAAAATCTGGTATACATTTATGAAATTTAAACATTACAAATTACAAATCAAATACGATGGTGAATATTATATATTCAGTTAAATTCACTACGTAAAATCAAATAAGTTGTTTCTCCTGATTTTCAAATTTTCTGAAGGAGAAAGGTCAATATTGGAAGAAGAACGGAATCTGTAATTAAGTGTATGCTGATCAAGCATTTGAATAAGTCGTTAGTGGTGAAACGAGAACAGAAGAGGTCCTTACTGCTAGATATGTAAGTATTTCAAACTTTCTTTACAAATAAAGATTATGACATTTCAGATTTTTAAATTAAGAAAATATCTATATTTCAACTTTTTATACACTCGTAGACTATATAATTATAATAATCGAATTTATCGTCTTTTTGTGGTGTGTTGATTTATTGATGAAGAAAACAGAAATCTAGTTCCTTTGAGAGTCACACTATGTGTTAATATCCATCAAATATTAATATGTCTGATCTTGGTCAGCCTTTCTCGCAATGGAAAACAGAGAAAGACGTGTATTCAGTTATTCTTCTGTAGAAGGGTTTGGAGGTAAGACAAAATTACCTGTTTTTACGTGAAATAGGTATGATTTATTTTTGAGAATTGAACTCTATTAAGAATCAATCTTTTCCCAAACGTTTTATGGTAAGAGAAAAACTTGGCGCTTTGCCGGGGAGGGGGGGGGGGGCTGCAAATTGTTTAGAAATTTTTGAATATATTATATATATATGTGTGTGTGTGTTAATGGAAAAGTCGGTCCTATTTGAACT